TATGATATTATTTTAATTATAATAGGAATTTTCCAAAATAATAAAGTGATCCTATTTTATTGAATTGAAAAGTATATTCAACCGACACCCTAAATACTTAGGTAATCTTTTTTTATATAAGTTTCCTTAAAAATAAGGGAAAATCAATGAAGTTAAAAAGTCGACCAATATTGACCTAATCTTGGGAATTATTCCTGGTAATTATGTGTCATGATAAAAATTAATTATTGACATAGATATAAATCTTATACAAGGTCATTATTTTAAAGACACATCTTATTCTTAATTCTAATGTTTAAATGATATTTGAATCATAAAATTTTTTACATTTCCATTTGTACATTACTTATGTTGGTTTTGTTTTAGATCTTTTAAAAGACAAAATATTTTTAATCTGCCATTCTAGAACTGAATATTTTTATCAAGTTATCAATGTTTTAAATATCGAATATTTTTGATTGTAAATTAAATCATATATTTATTAGTAGGTTATTACTTATTATATCAAATAGACAAATTAAATTCTTAAATARGACACAACTTTTATTTATTCAAACTACATTACCTAAAATACTTATTAAGTTAATAGACATTTATAGAAAACCAGTGAAGTCTGCAACATAGTTTCTCTTAACTCAATTTTTTATTTCTATAATCATTATATATTTATGAAAAAACCCTATTGCATAAACGTTCTGATTATAAGAATGATATTATTATAGTGGGTAAGTAAAATTTTTTTTTTAAATTATAGCCTCTTAAGTGCTGACTGTAAAGTTTATGCCCTTTATATAAATTTGTTAAATTATAGCAAATCCTATATAGACGGGCAGCATTTACTGATAAGCTCAGTATGTTATCTCAAGCAAATTAGGTGATTGCAAACCCAAACGATTGATTAAAACATCTTAAAATAACAAACATTATGTACAGTTTGCCTGTATTGAATATCGATCTATTAGGGTCCAGTTGATAATTAAAAAAAATTGCTTGATTAAACTTTGGCATCCTTTTTAGGAAATTGAAAATAACACTTCTGAGATTATTTAACGAAATATTATTTAATTACAAATAACGACGGAGGAAATACTGAATATAAAATATGCTTGAGCGTTTGGTCGAAATTTAAATGAAACTCAATATTTAATTCATAGCTACATGTAATGCAAATTATTAGCCACCCAATTATTGCGTGACCATAATATAATATAAATTATTATTGTATGATAATAATTATTTTTACGTTTGATGTTCGCCTTTGCCAATCCTAACAATATTGGTATCGTGTCTGCGAGCGTAATCTATTTCTGGGTCTAGTCCACGGCTTACTATTTATATATAGTCAAGGTTTCGCGTTATATGTACATAGTTCTTTCATATTGTAAAATAAAATAAAAATTCCGTAGATCTACCTTCACGTATTATAACTAAAATTTTTGTATATAAACACTGCAATAAAATTATAAAATACATAGGTAGGTACAATGAAATCATCTACTTACAGGTCGAACACAAGGTAGTGAAATAGTTCTTCTTGAATGCTGTCGTGTAATCTCACTATAATAGAAATTAAAATATCAACTCGTTATATTAATAATTTAACTTAATGATTTGTAAAAAAAATATTATTACGTCATAAAAAAAACTCGCCTATATTTGGATGCTGTAATTTCCTGCATATTCTTGCTTCCCTCTCTAATTTTTGAAAATCTGAAACATTCCGAATAATAAAATAATATAGTTATTCGATAAACAATAAACATATATCATACAGTATAGATAAATGTATAATATATAGGCACAAATAGTGTTAGATATTTGAGGGGCCTAGCCCCTAAAGCCACCTCTATTTGCACCTATGGTCAGTGGCATATCCAGGGGAGTAGTAACCCCCTCCGAAAATGTTTTCAATTTGTAATGTATGATTATTGATTATAATAAAAACACACAAAATTCAAAACAATTAATTTTATATTTTATATTTTTTCTGACCCCCTCCCCTCCGTAAAAAATTCTAGATACGCTACTGCCTATGGTATAATGTCAATATACCGCACAATGATTGTTAAAGATATACATATTTTATTTATATTATGTATTATGTGTTAAATTCAAAAACATCATAAGTGTTTGTATTTTGTATGAGTACCGTAGGCGTAGTTATTAGTATAATTATAATCTGTGGAGGCTATATAGAACTAGAAAAATGTATTTCAAAAATTTGTGTTCAGCTTGAATTATAAGGAAAGAGAACATTTTCAAGAAAAAACAATTTATACTTAACTCCTTCTTAACCTATTTTTATGTAATATTTCATACTACGTAAAATATAAAACGATTCTCTAATATATCTCTAAATAAACATTTTTATGATAAAAATAAATAGGTATATAAGTGCAATAACTATTAACTGTAAATAAATATTATACTACTAATATTTTAAGCCTTGATGAATTTCAGGGAAAACTATAAAAACATTTAATACTATAATTTTGGGTAAAATGTTTTAAATAAAAGTAAACATGGCGAGGAGACTGCAAAAGCTTATGTGAGGACTATAGCACCTATAGCTTTATTAATATTACACCCACGAAGAATACTGATACATTTTTATATCTGTTCTCTAAGTATAATTATAAAAATGCTTTTTATTTTAATCAATTTTTATATACTTAATGACAGCTAATTGTCAGCATTTCAATAGCATATTAATATAAYTTAATCGTTTGATCTTTATTGTTGATAATTAAATACTCAGYTAAGTCATTCCCTCTAGGGTATTTGATTTAGTTTAAGTCTTCCATTTAAAAAGCTTTTTATTTAATTGACATTCCAATAGATACGTAGGTAATGTAACTGTGATAATGACCATTTGTTAAATTGATTTTTTTTATCAGATTACAATAATAAAGGTGCAGCATTAATTACAAGCTAATGATAATTATTTTTAATACTCTACAATCACTCATCAAAGTTGGAATGAACACCTCCATGCACCAAAAAAATTCAGATAATATATTTATTGTATCAAATACAAAACACATATTTTACATAGGTACCTACATGGCTACATGGCCCAATTAATTTATATTACTATTCTTTTTTTTATTACTTTTTTCACAAATTAAGATTTAAAGTATCTTGTAAAAACATATATAAGATATACCTATGTTTGTCAACTTTATTTATTATATTATCATGATGAAACAAATCATTAGTAACTTATGAGTATTTTAAAATATATAAAAACAATAATTTACGATTTTAAAAATACTCATAACTCGCTTTAAATTAAAATATAATGAAAAGCCTCCGTGATAATAATGTTATCTTTAATTTTTATAAGAAGTCAATTCACTCTAAATTTTAAACTAACGGAGCTAAATCGGAACAACTGAGCGTAAAATTAGACATGTTACGTACTTGTAAGACAGAAACAACACATCTCGGGTGTGGCGTCCTCTGTCAGATGTAATAAAATTTTCTATGAAAAATATTCTGACAGATCGGAATTCGCGGTTCTGAATCGGTTTTTAAACTACCCATGTTTACTGTATACATGAAAAAAGTATTTTTAGTCTAAACTCACGRATAAAATAAAAACTCGAAATTATAGAAATATAGCTTTGTTATCTCTTTTGAAACTTTAAAATTGATGAAATATATTAATCAAATTTGAATTAATTTCTTATCTAAAACTGGTGTTCAACGCGAGTAGGTACCTATTCGATTATGGATGATTTGTTCGAATGTTTTATTTTTTATATATGTAAATCAAATCTAAACTCTATATAATAATACATCATCGTATTCATACTTATTTTCATAAAACAGTTTCATGTTGTCAGTTATTGATACTGGGTAAAAATAATGCGCAAGCCCAAAGCTGCCCAAACCTCCAATCCAAACCTCATCAGTTAATTATTTATATAGTGGGGCGAAAACGGGTCGATACCATTTGAATTTAGTTATTAAAAAGCAAAAACCGTTTTATACGTTCACTGGACATTTATTAAGACCACTTAATCTTGTGTTATAATACATACCATTGAAAAAGAAAAAATATGATTAATATAATATATATACCTACATAAATAAAATACATTCACTAGGGCGAGGGGTCGTATCAAACCTCACGTGCGAACGTGGGGATTAGTTATGTCACGTTCRACGATCGTGCGAAATCGCACAACACTGCAATGTATGTTGTATTTATGCTGACGGATTTATACATTATGATTAATATTTTGCACACATATACAGAGCGCAAGTCCTGATCGTTACCCCGATTGACGCTGTAGGAGAACTCCACCGCAGTGATCCATTATAGTCCATTACCCTATATAAATAACTGGACCACTTCGTTCACCCCCCCTCCCACGTACGCGCAGTACGATGTATTATAATGCGAATAAAACACAATACGTGTTTTGTTTTAGGCATACCACATACGTATACCACCGACAAAACGTGACATCAGCAGTGTACAATACACACGTTGTCCGGTCGTCCAAATCGAAGAGTAGTATCTCGGATCGAGGAGGTCATTTGTATTTATCGTTGACTACAAAACCCTCTATGATATTATGTCCCCTCGGGCACTCGATATATACAGTATATAGCATGATTTTTTTTCATCGAAGAGCACTCATTAATATTTAAAAAAATATGAATGCTTTTCGAGATGACGGCGAGTAATTAYTGTTAAATAAGAATCGTTTTGTATATACATTTGTCTCTTTCTCTTTCGCTTTATATAAAATATATATCATATAAATCGATATATATTTATGATTTGCGGTCAGATTCGTGTCGCGCCGATTTCAGTGGCCAGACCCGATCGCCGTCGAAAAGTAAATTTAAGCGACGCACCGTCGCCGGTCGTCGCAGAGCGAGCCATAAAAGCACGCGTAGTTTAATCAATACCAGTCGCCGCGATGTTAAGTTCTGCCTCTTCGCGTGCTACAGACATGTCTTACAGCATCCATTGACTTTTCTTTTTCAATCTAGTCCTCAATCCTCATGGCCATGTGCCATTYCGACGACGCACCAACCATTGGCCGTTTTTTTGCTAAGTTTTTTACTACTRTATCATAGCAAACAAAATTTGGGGTCGATAAACTGTCGATTAMAATAGAAGATTATTGTAACATATTTCTTTAAGTAGTTATAAGTGTTTAGTTCGTTACCTAGTATATTATATTTTATACGTCTATACATTGTATAGGTAAATATATTGCCTACTAACTGGTACTAGCTACTTTAACATATTATTTATAATTTAAAGATTTTTTTTTTTTGAAAGAATGTTTGACTTTATGATAAGGGTTTTATCACTCTCACATATACGTAAAAACAAGAGTATATAATATACTATATRGGTATACATAGAACAATAAAGTGTTTGATAACACATTATAATACTGATCTCAGACAGTAGATAATAATTATATACATATACATATTTATATTATATTTATCTACATTGTGTCTTTGGCAATTGAGTTTTATTATGATTAATTATTACACTGCTAAACAAGAAATCGAACACTTTATGCGCTCTTTTACATTGAACGTTCACTCCCATCCGTGGTCACGATAAATTGCAAAAATAATCATCCTMTAAGAAAGGGTAGTACCTATAGRTTTATCGACAATGTGACACAATAAYGCRCATGTGTCTATAAAGGTTTTATCATGCATGGGGAGGAGTCTGATTGGCTATGAGTTATTAATACGAGTGACGGAAAAGAGAATTCAAATACTGCGGAGCACCCTCCCTTATTGCTATACCACCGTTCCGTCCGTTGTCGTAGTGCTCGAGATTATTAATTAACAAACCGGCGCACATATTTTAATTATGGAAAACTGCGCATTCAACACAAATTGCTTATTAATTCACACGTATATATTATAAAGGTTCTATACATCATAAAGAATATAATATTATGTTAACTGTAAATATAGTAATATAGAAATTAAATCACATGATTTTCAAGTAGAACAATATGGAATACTGATTAAACAAACATGCTGCAGTTGAGAAGCTTCCAATTGATTTCTTCGAAATTCATTTAAAACATATTAAATGCGCTACAGTATTGTAACCATTCGAGTGTTCAACTGATTTTATTTCAATAACTGCCTACAAACAGTACAAACAGTGCACACCCTAATTACAATCATTTATCACAAATAAAAAATATATTTTAAAATATATCATATTGATCATATAAGCTATAAATATTTTAYTTATGTTTTAACTTTTTTTTAACTTTGTATAAAAATAAGTGTAAAAATTGTCATATCACGTTTAAATTTACAAGGTAATAAGTTATAACGTTAATGTATACAAAACAAAAATTGAATATAAGTAAACGTTTTATCGTGAGACAAATAACGCAAATATTATGTTTAATTTAGAGGAGTCCATTTTCTTCCACTATAAAGATAAGTTATCATTTTCCRACAAATGTTAAACTATTTAACTTATATTTTAAATACTTATTTAGTTTATTTGTATTAAATATATTTTCACAAAAAAAAAAAATAGTAAATTTCTTAATAATCTAAACGTTTTTTTTTATTCATTTATTTTTTTTTCGTTGTATAATAAATGACTTAAAAATATATTTATTAAATTCTTAATTCCTCATTGGAAGAAAATGGTAAGTGTAGGAATAAAATCAAGACTTTTTTATTTTTTAGAGAGAGGAAAATGGTATCTCATATTATTGTTGGAGGAAAATGGTTACGACTTTTAAAGGTTTTAATGTATATTGTGTATAAATAATATATATATATATAACAAGAGAGAGAAATGAAGAGAATCGTAATTTATCGAAAGTATGCGTTTTGTATGTCATATAATTTTAAATAATGTTATGTATTCATACATTTATTTTGATAAAGTTTAATAAAGTTTAATAAATATATTATTTAATTTAGAATAATTTTGGTGTGAGTGGGGATCCCTATTATAATAAAATGTATATTAAAATACTGTTAGTAAAATAAAATTTCAATGTTGTTCAATGCCGCATTGTCAGTCCCTATTTTTATAATATAGTATAACTAAAAATGTATCTATTTATTCACTACGAATTTACCACGTAGAAATATGGTACGTATTATAGCTACAAGTTTTATATGCGCTTTAATGGGGTTTTTTCATAGATAAAAGAAATGTATACGTAGTCTAATAATTCTTTACTACATGCAATTGGTACGAAATTTCGTAAAAAAATATGTGAACTCTAAAACCGATTTGTCTGTATTTTTTAGCGTCTAACGCCTGTCAAGGTACRTTTATTTATAGCTGCAGGTATATATTATGTAATATAAATMCAATGTATAGAACTAAATAGTGCAAATAATAATTGGATATTAAATTTTGTATATATCATACACATTGACATTGGGTCGTGTAAAATACTGCTATTGTGTCGCCGTTTTATTACACGGTATACCGTAATGTAATATGAAATGGYAATATTATTTTTAATTATAGAAGTTTTTATTATAATTGTTTACGATGTTATAAAGTAGAGTATGCACGCAATCGTAGTAAATTTTGCAAAGTAGTTAATGAAAAGTGCTAAAAACTAAATAGTGCATGAATATAAATTTTATAATAATCAAAAATCTTACAACGTGTAGAAAGATTAAGCATGTAAAATAAAATGTTTTTTTTTTATAATTGTAAAGCTATAATTGTTATACTACAAAAAGCTAATTAAAAAAAATGAAATGTTTTATTTAGATTCTTAATATTTCAAATAGGATTTTTTTAACCCTGCTATTTATAGAACTAAAATAATGCAAATTCTAGAAGACTATAGATAACCGTAGTTACTATAGTTATGAGATATTTACGTATTTAAATAGGAAATATTCTAAGTTTCTAGTTGTATCAATATCGTATATTATACATATTAATTATAAACTACTATTTTTTTTTTAAATAATCGGGTAGTATATTATCTAAAATTAAATTACTAAAGATATTTTGCAAACTATAATCATACGAATGTAGTCGTAATTTTAWTATCAATAGTTTGAACTAATTATTAACATAATTATAGAAAAAATCAATTTTTTATGCAAAATTAAAGTGGTATAGGTACTTTAAATTTAAAATGATCATTTTAATTAAAACTAAAAAAAAAAATTAACGACTGAATAAATTGTGCAAATCATATGATTAAATAATTACTATTTTTAATTCTTCGTGTCACGTATTTGAAAAATGAATATTTCATCATATTAAATAAGACTAATTACGTTTTTTGATACAAAATTTAAATTGTATCACTTAAATTAATGGAAGGTTTATAAAATGTGAAATTCGTAATATGTTTAACTCTGTAGTATAACCGTTTAATGTTTTAATAAAATGAGTATTGAATAATAAGTAATAATTAATAATTATTTTTTAAAAGAGGTTTGTATGTATTTTTGAGATACATGTTTATATTAAACGTGCACAAAATAAAAATCAATAGGAAACACATTTGTGTTGTACATAATGCAATTTCCCATGGTATTTGAACGTTATTGAAGTTTTTGAACGATGAAAATACTATTACACCGTACCACCCAAAAATATTTTTAACTGCACTCTGCAGCAGTTTATTATATCATAATGATTAAGTATATTTTGAAAACGTAACAAATACAATCTCAAAATGTTACGTAAAATTGATCTGAGTCATAAATCAAAAATAAATAAAACGAATAGTAACAATAATTCGATGTGAAAATAATTTAAATTATTTTTTTACAGTATGTTACATTACACGTGAATAGAATGTTCAATTTAGATATCGTAATATCCACAATAGATAATATTATATAAACATTAATATTATAACTTTTAGATAGTATTGTTTACTTTTTGATTCGCATCTATTAATTTTGTTTACAATATTTGCATTTCTGCATTATAGGTACTGTATTAGAATTAAAATAATTTATTTTTATTTAATTATTTAGTATCTATAAATATATTAAATAAAAAAAAATGCATTAGCTTTGTAGATTTCCTTCAAAGTTTACAAGTGTAGAAGCCAAAAGGTTATATTTGTATTGCTTTATCGACTACCAAAATATACATCCAATAAGTAACTCATTTTTGTTTTTTTTTTTATTTAAAATCCCTGATAGGTTGGTGAAAGAAGGTCAAGAAAATATCTCTTGACTTACAACTCGTATTTTTAACCCTTCCTTCTTCACTACTAATAGTTTTGATTCTTGACTCTTGCTCTAAAAGCTTTAGGGTTTCACTGTGCATGGCACAAATAATAAAAAATAATGTCTACTACGTGACCTTTTGATATAAAACCTTTATAAGAAATTAATCTCAGATCTTATTTTAAAATCGTTTAAACCAAATTTGATCTTTTCAATTTTATTTACTCGAATTAAAATTTTTAGGTTCTTAAGATAAAAATAAAAAAATAAATTTACCTCGGGCTGATAATTTTTTCGTGTTTATAATTTTTGCGGCGAATTCCAATCCTGTGTGCTTTTGAATGCATTTTCTCACCACAGAAAATGCCCCTCTAAAAAAAAACATATGTTTGAAGTTAATGTCTATATAGTTAAATTATATCATATGAACAATTGAACAAGAAAACAATACAACACTATATAGAACAATATTATTATTGCGTAGTAAGTACATTACCCACACATCACTTACACATGGCTATATAAATATTCAAAAAAGTTAGGTACAAAAATCAAAACATGACCTATTTTTATCAAGTTCTTAAACTTTTTTGAAATTAAATATTTTACCAAAATCGTTTACAGGTCACAGGAAGCATAAACAATAATATTACTTTCATACCATGTCTATACAATATGCATAAAAACTTTCAAGTTTTATGTTATTTGAATGACAGAGTTTACACAATAATCTAATGTATAACCACCGTTTTTAATATAAAA